GAAATCTAATGCAAGAGAAGAAAAAAAATAATATATATATATACATTATAAAACAGAAAAAGCTCTATTAAATTTAAGTTTGAAATGCACAAAACTAAATATTTTGTGCTTTGTAAAAAACAATATCACAAGCAGCCACAGAAATCTAATGCAAGAGAAGAAAAAAAATAATATATATATATACATAATTATATACATAAATCCGTATATAAATTTAACATTTACTTTTAATGATTTGTGAATTTTTAAAATTAACACGAAAACCTATTTTTTATTTGTTGGAAAGTCATGATAGGATTATTGAATATTATTGCAATTAAATTGGAATAATTTCAATTTATAAAAAAAAAAAAAATCTTTGTATATGCTGTAACTTATGAATATTTATCAATTACATTTATAAGGGTCTGAAATAAAAATAAAAAAATTAAAGATAAACATTTTCATATAAAATATAAATACAGGGTATTTAATAGCGCCATACTTTGAATCCACTCAACAGTGGCGGCTGCACGATAATCATATTTTGCGTATTTTCAGCTGTACACACTGCTGGTCACACTTGGCACACATTTAGCTCCAGCTGAAATACGTCACATACACACAGACGTTCGCGCACACACATGGACACTTCTGGAGCGCGCCTATAAAATGAGCAAAACACGACGCGCTCTCGAACAGTCGCTCGACTTACGGAGATAAAACGCGGCGACCGTCCCAATCAGTCGACGTACAGCGCTGCAACAACAAAGACCACGACTAGAACACTAAGAACTGAGTGCAAAAGTAAATAAATAGCGAGTTTTGACTGTGTTTTGATACGCGTGGCGCACAAATCAAGCAAAAACAGTGTGGCAAACCCAACTAGAAGAAAAATAATTTGGCCAGCCATAAACTAATTTTTATGGCTCAGCAGCATCAAAAAAACATAAGCAGCAGCAGCAATAGCAACAGCAGCTAGCAAACACACAACAGCAGACAACAAACAACATTGCTGATTTATACAAATACAAATAGTTCACTTTTTGAAACAAAGCGATTTAAAGCACAATTGATATATTGTTGTAATTATTATAGTTGTTTTGTTGCTGTTGTTGTTGTTATTCGAACTGCACGCAAAAGACTTTTGCCAGCTGTTCGTTGGAGCGAAATTGCGGTAAAAGCACAATACACCAAAAGTCGGAAAATCCAATAAGAAAAGCGAGAGTGTACTTGTGGGTGTATCTGTGTGTGTAAGCGGGGCCCCGGTCAACGTCCTGCCTAAAAGTAGGGTTATGTACGCTCGTATCCTCGCTGCTGCTATCGTCGGCTGCTGCTGAAGGTGAGCGAAGGACATTGCGCCTGCCGGCTGCTATACCACGTAGTAAAGGCGACCCACTGAGCCACAACTGATTCTAAAAAAAAAATACCAACACTCACAAAAGACACTCAACATGCGCATTTTTCCTGTACGCCTCTCGGCCGCCTCGTCCTCGATGGCGAGCCTGGCCAAAATGTTGGATTTCTACTCGGGCTTCAATCCGTCGCCGCTGTCAATAAAACAGTTTATGGATTTTGGTGAGTTGGTCTATTTTTGGTAAATAATTCAATGTGCTTGAGTCCTTGCCGGCTTTCGTTAGGTTTCGCTCGAGCTCTGCCATAACAAGTGCGCGCTCTCTTTCTCTCTCACACTCACTCAATCTTCTACTATGCGCGAGAACAATCTTGTATAACAATAAACACTTGATATCTTTACTGACGTCATTAGATTCAACGCTTTTGATCTACGTTACTTGCATAACGTGCCAAACCGAATAAATTGTTATTGTTGTTCTTGGTTTAAGTTGGCGATTGAAAAGCACTCAAAATTAGCAGAAACAGCTCAGTACGTGACATAGCTGGACTATGTTGTGATCTTGCGTAACGTAAGCTCACTCAACTTGACGAAAGAAGAGAGCGAGAGCAGTGGTTAATTAAGATGCACTCAAACATTTGCGCTCAATATGGAAAATATGCTCAGCAGCTTGGCTTTGTGGATTTTAGATTTTTGCTTATACATACATAGCTGGACTGCGCAAATTGCCGTTATCTAATATTCAATTTAATTTCATTGAATTGTCAATTAAGCAGCTACTACTGTACAACAAACTGTTGACTGTGCACTGACAGAGATAGAGAGAGAGAGAGAGAGTAATAGAGAACATAAATAAATAGCCATCTCAATTGCACGCTCCAATGTGTAAAACTATAGAAAACGGAAGTTCCCACAAATGAGCTTAGTTTTCATTAGCCGTCAACAATAAATGACAATGAAATGCTATACTCTTGCTACAAGTCGCTTAGCCTCCCGTCCCCCGCCCCGCTGCCACCCAGGCCCACCCACCAGTTGCAATGACTGGGCTCGTGCGACCCAAGGACGTTTCAATGTCAATTATATATATATGTGAATATATAGACAAATATATAGATCCACGCGGATATATAGACAAAGTTCCTACATATATAGACATGTACATAAATGCATTTATAAGACTGTTCTAAGCTGCACGAAAACCTGCCTCAATAAGCGAGACTTTGCTAGCTGTAGTATGACACGATGTGCTACCCTGTAAGCGCGCATAAAGTGTTATATAAGGTGAGAAAAAGGCTGTATTTGTATATATAACTTAGTTTTAAGCCAGAATAGGTTCAAAATATATTGTATTTTTAAAATCTGGCCTAAGGCTTAACTTTTTTATAGCAATTGCACTTTTTATCTTTTAAAATGAAAAATTATCTAATTTACCTAAGAAAAATATGACTCAGCCAAAAAGCAAAAAAAAAAGTACGCAAGTCAAACAAAAAAACTATTGGAAATGTATGTTTAAAAATAAATACCTAAAAAGCAATTATCCCAAAAAATGAAGATATATGTATGTATTCATCTAATATAAATGAAAATGTCAAATATGGTATATATATGAAATATATAGTTAATTAAAAAAGAAGCAAATGTATTTTTGCATATGTCTAATATTTGAAAGAAGTACAGTCTTTGTTTTTTGCACAAAACATTTCTTGAGTATGCAATATTTCTTCGATGTGTAACTCTGATTAACACTCAATATTAAATTGAAGAAAAAATAAAGAAATAAGCTCTATTAACTGTGTAGAAGTCTAACTGGCTTATCAGTTCTATAGTTCCATTTTTTCTGAGGGCAAACGTACATAAATGAACATAAGTTTGTATGCTTTGTTGTGTCGTTTACCTTCTGTATACGATATCAATGATGCTCAGCAGTCTCTACTTGTACTTGTGTCGTTGCTAACCTCTAAATACCGTTCGGTTGTTTTCCTAATGAGTCTACGTCTTTGTATGCCTTTCCACTATATATTTACTATTACATCTTCATTAAGTTTCAAGCACGTAGCTGCTGTCACTCCTAATATCGCTCAGGACTCTCAGCCCATGGCCCCATGCTGATGGGGAGGTATATACCCCTGCTCTCTGTCTCTATAGGGTATTACGCACGTTCCTTCCACCTAAGCTACTGTCACTCACAATATGCCCTTAAAGTATATTACTAAAGTACAGCTCGCACGACCTTCAACTCTTGCCATAGTCTCCTCTTCGCATACCCCTCCTCTTGCTATCTTTATAGGGTATCGCACACACGACCTTCTCCCCAGGCGACTATCGCTCTTTCTTAGGCATTTCATAGAAACAGCAACAACAGCAACAACAACAAATGTTCTCAGCCAACGACTTGGAAACAATGCGTTCAAGCCAAGTGGCTGAAGGGCCTAGATGTGACGATGTCCTAGTGGAACCGGTTAGGGGGTCTGGCCCTAAGAGGAGGCTGTTGTTCTATTAATAAAGTGGGCTAGGCCAGGCCGAAGGTTTCTTCTTGTTTTTGTCGTTTTGTTATTAATAGAAATTGTACGAAAAACAGGCTCGTGGACAACATTGGAATATATATAGCCCCCATATAACCCCTGAGTAAACCCCATTTTATCCATTATTTATTATCTTTTGTTTTCGCTTTACTGAAGTGCAAAACAAAATTACTACACAATCAAATATCAATATACTTGATATATACAGACATATATATAAGTAAATGGCGACATATGTATATACCCGACTCTCCATGAACTTTCGATGCGAGCGATAAGATTTGCACAACTTTTGTGACCAACTGTACTTGAATATGCCACGACATGGAATAAATTGTATGAGCTCAGAGCAATTGCTCCATAGATAAAACATGAGAATCGGCTCAGCTGAACTAATTAACAACTTGTCGAGAGTGTAATAGATACAGATTTCGCACATATATAGCACAGATATCGTGGATTATCTTTTATGGCCTACACTTGCTGTAGTATGCGAAAATTTTTTGGTATTATCAGCTTGCAATATGCAAACCCATATTAAATAATACGAAAACTCTTCACTTCAGATTGTTGCTAATTGTTATTTATTATTAAGCTACTGACATCAGACAGTCGAGCCTCGCTAGAGTGAATGATAATGGTTATATGAGTGCCTGAAGTTGTTGATCAGAAATTACTATATAA